TCTGAGGGTTTTTCCTGAGGAGCTGTTTTGCTTGGCGTTTGTAGTTCTAAAAATAAAGTTAGTTTCTTTTGACAAGTGGCTCCTGAATTGTGCCCAGCCAGACTGCGGCACCACTCACTGCCTCTTTACAAGCTACAAGATTCTCTTTGGGTTTTTCATGTTGACCCCAGGAAAGAAATTACAAAACATCCTATTTTTCTTGCATATCTTGATAGGCTCAAGAGGACCAATTCGAGATTAACTATACTATAACTCTTACTATTCTTGCTCTATATGTGTGAAGTTTGTTCATTTCTAGATACAGTTCCAGAAAACTTAGGATGCAGCTGTATTCTACTCTATAACACTATCAGCTTCTGGCTTAGAAGGGGCACCCACAAATTTGAAGGCTAAAAAGCCAGAGTATAGGCTTCTCAATAATTCACAGGAAGAGAGTTCTGAAGTGCAACTGTGGGAGGCCATCCTTGCACATGATTTGAGTTACCTCCCTGGCTGGGTGAGAGGTGCTTAGAATAAAAAACCAAACATTGATTTTTTTCTTTGAACCTTACTAGGAGGGTAACATTGAATAGTTGGTTTAACCTTTCTGAATAAGTTCCTGATTTTTAAAATGAAATCACTCTTTAACCTAACAAAAATATTATCATAGAATGATGATTATAAAAGTTCTTTAAAGCTAATAAACACTATAACACTTTAAAGTATTATTAAGATATTAGATAAAACTTTTCCAATTACAAAATATTTACATTTATGAAGTAATTGTTTTGATGTAATCATTATAAATATTCATTATAACTTATCTTTAAATTTTGTTTACCCCTGATGTTTGCTTCATCAGGAAAATCAAATTAATCTTTGTATTTATTCATCCATTATAATAAGGTTTTCTGAGTGCCTACAATGTGCCCTATATTGTACTATACTCATGGGAAACACAAGTGAGCTAAACAAAGATGCTTGTGTTCCTTAAGCATACATTTTAGTAGTTGATACACAAGGAATAAAGTATAAGGTAGAGGGCTGGAGTTGTAGCTCAGTCATAGAGCACTTGCCTAGCATGTGAGAGGCACTGGGTTCAATTCTCAGTACTGCATATAAATAAATAATATAAAAGTCCATTGACAACTAAAAAAATCTTTAAAAAAAGAATAAGGTAGTAGTAGTGCCTGGAGCAGTAGCACACACCTGTAATCCCAGTGGCTTKGGAAGCTGAGGCAGGAGAAGAGGATCTTGAGTTCAAAGTCAGCTGCAGCAAAAGCAAGGCACTAAGCAACTCAGTGAGACTCTGTCTCTAAATAAAATACAAAATAGGGCTGTTGATATGGTTCAGTGGTTGAGTGCCCCTGAATTCAATCCCTGGTACACCTCCCCCACCCGCCCAAAGAAAGAAAGACCAACAACAACAACAACAACAAAAAGAATAAGGTAGCAGGTAAGTAAATTATCCTTATATGATAGAAGGGGATAGACATCATAGGAAAATGGGGTACGGGGAGGAATAGGAGAAAAGGATTAGGCATTCTTATAAGTGGATTATACATTTTAACAGAGAGATTAGGCTCAGAGGCCTCAGTAAGATGGTGACAGTTGAAAAATGATTTAAAGGAGGTGAAGGAATTGACAATATGGACAATATGAAATGTCTTCTTAGTCCATTAATGCCACTAGAGTAAACTTGGTAGTTTATAATCAGAAGAAATTTATTTCTTACAGTTCTAGAGGTTAGAAAGTTCAAGGTCAAGATATTGGCAGATTCAGTGTCTGATGAGAGCTTGCTTTCTCCATTAGAGATGGCATTTTCTAGTAGTTTCTTCACATAGTTAAAGAGGCAAAAGTTTCCTTGGGCTTATTTTATAAGGGCACTAATCCCATTCATGAACCTAWTCACTTTCTAAAAGTCTCCACCTAATCCCATCACCTTGGTCGTTAAAATTTCAACATATGAATTTGGGGAGGACATAAAGATTTAGATCATAGCATAGGGGATAGGGTTTATAGAGAGAGGGAAGAGCCAAAGAGAAGCACACTTAAGAAACCAGTGCAGCTGAAATGAGTAAGAAAGCCAAGGAGACTGAAAAGAAGCAGTAAGCAAAATATGAAGATCAATGTACTCTAGAAGTTAAGGAAAGATCTCAAGGATGAAGGAATGAACAATGGTATCAGATGCCATTGATAAGTAATACAGCAGAATTCCTTGGAGTTGACCAAGCTTTTATAAATGTTAACATTATAAGTTATCTTGAACACTTTTGGTGGAAGGATATAAGTAGTGTGTGCTGGTAAATATTTTATAACTTGTGGGGGTGGAGAGATAAGTAACATTTGTCAATTTCTGTGGTGGGGTTATTCCTGTCATGATTGATTTTAACCAACCAATTCGGCACCACTGTACTTAAAGTTGGGAAAAGATGCCCATAATTAAATCTTATTAATAGAAACTGGTTCTAGCATACTACTGGATGGAGATGTAAGACTAATTAGATTGGATTTTTAAACTGATTGCTATTATGGTTGCCCAATAATTTGACAAATGACATTCAGTTGCACACTTTAAATGGTCAAAATTATAAATTTTATTTTATGTGTATTTTACTACAATCTTTAAAAAGATGATTAAGGAGAGAAAGTGGAGATGGTGGAAACCCTTCTCTAGAATCTTGCTGAAAGGAGAATAAAAATATTTGTCAAGAGCTGTGGTAGGAAATGGGGAAGTGAATCTATCTTCTGAGATAATTAACAGCAGGTTTTTACATTAATGAAAATGGCCTACTAAAGAGGAGAAATTTTATGAAGAGAGAAAGAGATGGAATTCTAGGATAGATGTCATCTAGTAGACAAGTAATAGGTAAGCTTTTGAGCTAACAGAGATAATATCCCTTTTTCATTTGCTGGTAAGTATATTGATGTAGTAAAAGTCTCTGAAATTTTATGATTGCTGCGGTTTTTTGTCAAAATGGGAAAGTGCATTTTAATAAAATAAAGTATGGATAGAAAAGAAAGAAGAAGTCAGTGGAGCAAAGAGAAGGTATTACATAATTGCCCAGAATCGTGGACAAGGTTATGGATGAGGGAATTGGTGTGATTGCTGGGCAAGACTAATGGCCTGCATGAGGTGTGCAATCATCAATTTGAAGTGACTTCAGTAAGCATAGTGCTTAGTTTTTTTTTTCCTCCAGTTTTGTTCAGTCTCATTAGTATAGGCATATTGTGTGTAGGAATTGGATTTTTCTACAATTTTCTTTTTTGTGTGAAGCCAGTAGGATGATGCAATGCAAATAGAAAAGTGTTGAATAAATATAAGTGAATAAGTTTAATGATTGATTATGGAATTTCAGCTGGATAAGAAGGAAAGAAAGTACATTGAAGGAGTAAGATATAATTAAAGGTTGGAAGGATGAATGGATGCACAATCTTGGCAATGTCGAAGAATTTTTGACATTGATATGTCAGGGAGAATTAGATGATGTTTAGAAAATGGAATGGATAAAAATAGAGTATGCAAAGACTGCAGTATTATAAAGGTTTATGATAAGGTCACAGGGTGAATGGTTAGTATAAGATGGGGGACAAGATCATTGAGGTGAAGAGCTCAAGGAATTAAAATGAGGTTGTGAGAAAGATTAAATCGCTAAAACTGAAGGCAGGAATAGTTTCAGAGGGAGTAACAGTAAGCAGGAACTAAACAGGCAGAACAACCTGTAGTTTAATAGATGATCACAACAGCAAAAAAAAAAGTAATATAATTGAATGGTATGATATTCAGAGCTTGAAGGAAACTTCTTAGAGAGGAGGAAGTGAGAATAATTTGAAAGAAGAAATAATGAACAAAGAGGATTAACCTAACATTCAGGTCCAGTGAACCCAGGTATATGGGAGAAAAAAGTTGCACCACTTGAAGGAGCTATGAGGGAAGCATCATTCTCAGGAAAAACCAGATTGTCAGTAGAGCAGGAAGGTGAAGAGGCCAGTGAGAGGTTTAAGATACAGAGGTGATGATGGAATTCCAGATAATAAGAGTTTTAGGAGTAAAGGAGAGTTGAGAAGAGTTAGAATAAGAATTATATGGAGCCATATAAGGTTTAGAAATCCATAGATCATAAGTAACCTGAGAGTGTGACCTTCTTGTGATGAAAACAGTAAGAGAAAGTAAGCACAATCAAATTGAATCTAATAGACTCAAAGCCAATGTTAATGGTGAGGTTAAGAGTGTTTAGGAGTGAAGGAAGGGGCAGCTTCTGAGACACACACTTGAGTCCTGTTGTTTGAGGCAAGGTTGTTTAGAGAGGTGTCACAGTCCCAATGCAAGACACTCACTCTTGACCTCTATTGATGAAGCTGAGGATTTCTGAGGAAACCTAAGATTACTCCAAACACATAGGCCCCTTTGGGGAAGTAAAAGACTTTGGGGACACGTGAATTTATGTGAAGATGATAGACTCACATCTTTAGATTTCCTGTCCCCATCTCCACCCTTTCTATTTTTTACACTTAATAAAGGAATGGAGAAAGAAAGAAGCCCCTTGCATAAATACCAGGAGACCCAGTACAAAGGGGAATCATGCAATGCATGCTTAATTTACATCAGCTGCCACCATAATGAACAAATGTATATGTCTTCTTATTTTTGTTTTTCTTTTTTTTTTTTTGCTTCTGCATTCTAACCACTTGAAAGTTTATGACTGGGGCAGTCCTGTTCTGAACTTTCTTCATTTTAATCAAGTATGTTGTTATTCCAAAACCATCTCCCTTCCCATTTTGTTCAGATGATCCTCTTATAGATAAGAGTCATCTGTGAATCTCAGAGTATTATTACATAGTGAGACCAGCAAGYGAAAAATCATATTGTTTTGGAATCATATTGTTACATCCAACCAAAGCATCTTTTCCATACCTTTACATATCTTAATAGGAAATATCCTGGATAAACTTAGAGGAGTTGACAGTAGTAGAAGAATTCATCATCCTTTGTCTGGAAAACTAATGTATTTATAATTTGCACAACTCTGTACTTGGTAAATATGAGATAAAATGCATAATGTATTTCATGACCTTAAAACCAGTTATTCTATTTGGGAATACAGGTCAAATACATATAATAATTAGAAATAACTTAGAATTCAATGAACATGGTAAAAATTGTGTGTGATGACAAAATTTTTGAAATATCAGAAACCGAGCCTGTCTGACTTCAGAGTTTCTGCTTTTCTACTACACTTTTCTGCCTCAGCTAAATTCTGGGCCATATATAATCTGCTCATATGAAAAAGTCTAAAGTAAGATCTTAAAATCAAATTCAATGGGATTAGAGTTAACCTTGGTTGCCAATATTTATAAATTATTAATAAACAAATAGACAGTAATACAGTCACAGGAAATTTGAAATGCTTTCAAATACCTTCAAAATACTTCCATGCTTTATAAGAAATACTGAACTTACCTCTGTGAATCTTTGAATATTCTAGATTAAAACCATCTATTAGCTCGGTGTTGTGGTTCGTGTCTATAATCCCAGCAATTTGGGAGGCTGAGGMAGGAGGATCACAGATTCAAGGACAATCCCAGCAAYTTAGCAAGTTCCTGTCTCAAAATAAAACAAAAAAGGGCTAGGGATGCGGTAGAACTTCCATGAGTTGAATCCCCATTACTATAAAGCAAATAAAATAAAAAGTAAATTATCTAGCTTTGATTTATGCTTGTTTCTGAGTAAAAATTGTAAGATCTCTTTGCTTCCATAGATTCATTAATTTTAACCCACCAGATTAAACTTATTTTAAAACATCATTCAATAATTTAATAAACAGGACTTTCTAATGTATTATATTCTGTGAAAACTCACTTTTTCTTTTTTACTCATTTATTTTTAGACAACTTCTCCATGGTACAATGTGACAAATATGAATGTGACAACAACAACTTGGAGTAGTAGAAATGACTTATTGGCTGACCTGGAAGATGTTCACATTTTTTTCTGAAATCACAAACCTATCAATCATAAAACTATTTCTTACTATAATCATATAGACTTTTTGTATGGATTAGATGCTTATAATCAAGTTTACCATGAAATCTTTGATATTATCCAAAAAATCTATAAAGAACCATGATACTCTGTGTTTAAAGACTTATATCATTCCTATTAAAATTCAATTATTACAAGCTGGGGGTGGTGGCACATGCCTATAATCCTGGCTACTCAGGAGGCTAAGACTGGAGGATCTCAAGTTCTAGACTAGTCTGAGTAGCTTAGCAAAATCCTCAGCAACTTAGTGAGTCCCTATCTTAAAATAAAAAAGGACTGGGGATGTAGCTCAGTGATGGAGTGCCCCTGGTTTCAATTCCCTGTGCCGAAAAAGGAATCCAATCATTTTTTTCTTACTATGTATGTTTATTCACATATTAAATTAGAATATTCAATACAAAATTGTCTATTTTCTCCTTGTTCCCAGGCCCTCTGTTCATTAAATCAGTGGTTTTATATTCACAAGGAAAATGGTAGAGATATATATCAGTACAGTCTATTGAGTTTCTTAATAGAATTTAAATACCTAATATCAGAAACAATAATCTTACCATTTTTTTGCAAGAGATAACCTTTTAAAGAACGTTCTTTATTTTCTTCAAAAGAATATGAACTAATGTTATGCATAAAAATAAAGTCTGGAAGATATCTGATATGAAAGCTAATTTTTCTCTCTGCTGAATGGAGAGTTAAAACACTTTCCTAGCTGTGAAAAAAAAAATTGGGGGGAAAATAAGAAAAGGCCGGCACCATGGCTCATGCTTGTAATCCTAGCGGCTCAGGAGGCTAAGATAGGAGGATCATTAGTACAAAGCCATCCTCAGCAAAAGCAAGGCACTAAGCAAATCAGCTGGGGGTGTGGCTCATTGTTCAATTGTCCCTGAGTTCAATCCATAGTATGAAAAAGAAAAAGGAAAAGAAGAAGAGGCCTGGGTTTCAGTGTAGTGTTGCTGCCTGCTGATTGCTTTAGGCAGTGTCCCAGAGGCAAGGAAATCATAGAAACCATATGGGTTGTGCCTCACTTCCCCAAGTACAGAGCCCAGGGAGACTGAAGTTAGCTTTCCAGCACAGTGTGTGTAAAAAGTAGCAATGGTTGAGGTATATTTCTCTGGAATGGCTTCTCAAAATATCTGTAGTTTAGTGCATAAAAGATCCAAGAGTTTCCTCAACACCAGAGAAGTATAAATATGTTCAGGAGAGTACTAGAAGATGGGAAGAGGCTGAAGATGTAGGATGAAAGGATGCTGTCAATAGTGGTGGCAAAACAATGGGCATCAGTGGCAGGCCTCCTAATGGCATTCAGACTTCCTGTTTCTGGTTCCACACATAAGGAGACTGAACACTGAAAAACCAACAACTTCTTGGATCTTTAAGGGAGGTGAAGACATAGGGAAAAAGGTCAGAGAGAGAGACAGGTGAATACAGGGGGTTGCAGCTTACCTGAGCAGAAGCTCAAGGTAGCAGAAGCTACATAGAGAACCAATGCCAAAGTAGGAAAATCTGAATGGTAAGTAATGAACTGCAAGAGRCTCAGTGTGCAAAGTCTGAGAGTCAATATCTCCAGGGGAACCCAATCATAGGGGAAAGACTAATATTTTGTTAAGTCTCACTTCCAGGAGCTTGACCAGGTTCTCACAGTCACTATTTGAGAAAAAAAAAATATCTCTGTGCTTCTGGCAGAGGGAAAGGGGGAAAACATTTTGAAATAAGCCAAGACCAGATCACTTTGTTAACAAGTTAGCAAGGTTTATCTCAGGGGAAACTAGTTCGCCAGAGCCTAAAACCTGGGGGAAGGGAAATATCCAACTCCACTAATAATCTTTCAATGTGTGAGAAGGAAATAGCTGGCTCTAGTCACTCTAGGCCATTTGTCCCACCTGGGGTAGGGGGACTTGAGAGTTCCTCTGGCTGATTAACACTTTTTATGTTTGCCTGCATCATTGCTGAAAGAATTAAGTGTATCTCTATGCTTTTCCACTGGGAGAGTACATCTGGAAGCTTCTGCCTGGTTTCTCTTAGACTTTGTCCTGGGTACACTTACTTTTGCTGATTTTAATCTGTATCCATGTGTTGGAATAAAGGTAACTGTGAACAAAACAATTTTTCTGAGGCTTGTGTGTCCTTATAATATCATCATGTCCTAAGAGTATTCTTGGGATCTCCCAACAGAAATCTAAAAGGAAATGACAGAAGCAAGTGACTAGAACAGACCTTTCATAAAAGAGAGAATCCAAAATACCATTAAACTTTTCAAAGGATGCTCCACATTTGAAAGCTTTAAAAAGATACCAAAGACAAATACAACATGACGAAATGGCTAAAATTAAACAGCATGTGCCAACTGTTGTATGGGTATGTGAAACTGCCGCAGTCTGGATGGGCACAAATCACGAGCCACTGAAGCAGGAACAAACTTTATTTTTTTACTGCAAGAAAAAACCTCACACACGCTCCTGGGGAATCCTCCCGAAAGCCACGAGGCTCCTGCAGGAACCCTCAGCCGGAAATATCTCCCCGGGAAATCCCTCCTCCTGCACTTCGCCAACCAATGGGAACTCCCGGGGAATCCCCGTGAGAACTAAAAATAGCGCTAGAACTCAAAAGTAGCGGCAGAGGCGGATATTAAYGCCTTGCCTGTCAATCAATACTGTTGGCAAAATGCCAGGGGCCATACAGACTCGGCTGTGGCTCTCAGCATGAAACAACCAGAAATCTCATACACTGTTTGTGAGAACATAAATTGGTGAAGTTACTTTGGAAAGTTCTTTGAAATTGACTGTTATTGTTTTAAATACATATACCCTATAACCTGCAATTCTATAACTGAGAATATACTCAACAAACTTGCAGGCAAATGTGTATGAAAATGTACAAGAATGTTTATAACAGCATCATTTTAACAGCAAGAATTGGAAAAACATCAAATATCCACCCATAGTAGCAAATACATATAATAACCTCGATTAGACAGAATGTGAACGTAACACCCTATTAGAGAATGTCATAACAACAGATAGAGAAGAGAGAAACAATGTACATTTACTTTAGCTGAGAGTATGTCAATATAAATTTTTGACACACAAACAAATATTCAATATTCTTTAAGATGACTTGTCATTTCTGCCGGGGTCCAGCCCTAGCGGGGTCCAGGGAATCCTGAAGGATGAGTAGCGTTGGCGAAAAGATGAGACAGGAGTCGTTTTGTTGGAGCAATCTCCAGAGAGAGAGACCTCTAATGCAGCTTTCTCTGGGGCATCTTTTATTACAATTTTTCTCATCATTATAGATTCAGAATACATCATTGATTATACAATTTCAAAACTTTGCCAAGACATAAAGTTTCCTTAACCATAATTAGGGGTATAGAAAAATGTAACATCAATTTACATTTTTCCAGGATGTGACTTTTTAGTTATCAATCATTAATAAAATGCATCACTAATTTACATTTTTCAGATTTTCCCAAGATGTATTATTTTCTTATTAACTAATGCCAAACTGTGTAACTAGACTCTAAGTCTCCTAACCTATCATTAACCTTTAAGTTTTAAAGTACACCTGCACTTTTATTTCTAATCTAAAATTCCCATCTAAAAAGATCCCTTAAATCTTATACTTAAAATATCCTAAAGTTTATAAACCATTCTTAAAACATATCAGAAACCCATATAACTGAAAACTTAAGAATTCTAAACCCAAGAATCTAAATAGAGTAATACTTCTAACATTATTCTAAAAGTATCTTTTACAAAGCTACTTTAATTAATTCCTAAATTTATTCTCATAAAACTGGTCGAGCTGCTTTCTCAAAGAGTTTCTTTGTTTCTCAGTCAAGGTGCACTAGTTCTTATATCTTTATAATCTTTCTCAATAAAAAGTAAGTTCTAAACATCAGTCCACTTTCCGCCAATATTAAGTATGTTCATTATAAATCCCTATGTGAAGTAAAAGAGGGTTTATAGAAATGAAAAGAATGTACCCTTATATGTCTTTAACTTTCCTAAGTGTATAACATAACTTTCCTTAATCAAGAATGAAACTACATATGGTGGGTTTCGTACAATGAGCTTAATGATTAGGTTTTCTAAAAGACCAGAAATATGGGCTTGGGTTCTAGTTGATATAATCAATGTGGTGCCTAAAATTCTCATGACCTTTCAGAGAGTGACTGTTGTCCATTATCAGTTTTGTCCTCAATGTGCTGAGATAGTAGAGCAGCTTTCTACTTTGTCCTTGATATGCTGAGGGGTAGTAGAACAGCCTCCAAGGCATGAACTACCTGTTATGTTCTAGCCATCTGAAATTTAATTTGGTTTGGCATTTAACATACTCATGCCTCCTGTCAGGAACATGAACATGAAAATGAAAAGTCCCAATTACATAAAACAATGGTCTCGTGGTTTCGGTTTCCCACCAACCAGCACGGCTTTGCCAGCATTCATCCTCACTGTGACCTTGTCGAGACAGTGGGGGAGTGGCTTTGCCAGCACTTATTTTCACTGTGACCTTGTCAAGACAGTGAGAGGGGGATCGCCTTCACCACATTTCATTATGTAGCATTATTGACAATATTAACAGGATAACTGCCTGAGAAAATTGTTATGTTTAAGCTCCTGAAAATCCTCTTGTCCACTGCTTTCTTCACATCAAGCTTTGAGGGTTCTTTAGCTCCAATAGGTCCTATGCAGCCCAACCAATTAGCTAGATACATTCCCATTGTAATAAATCATTCCCTAATAATCACCTCTGAATTTTTTTCATAATAATAATGAAGGTTTTTCTTAGCTTCTTTGTTGATTTATAACACATAAAAAAGTACAAATCCCATGTGGACAGAGCAATAAATTAACACAATGAATCTGTGTACCCACTATCCAGGCCAATAAATAAAACACTACTGACACCCAAGAAGCAAGTTATCATCACTCACGGTTCTCTTCAAAAGGTAACCACGGTCTTGACACCTAACCTTATAAATTAGTATGTTTTTGAAATTTGTATTAAGCAAGTTAGCCATTCTTAGTTTTGGCTTCTTTTACTCCAAATTAGGTTTTGTGAAACTATTATGTATTATTGATGTAGCAA